GACTGGACAACAGATCTCAGTGACTTTTAAGGAATATAAGGAGTTAAGAGATCAGCAAGATCTGCTGAAGTAAACAAATTAAGGGATTTAAAACATATAATAAAATCTTAAAATCAGTCCAAAACCATTCAGAGAGACCAGTGAGCAGTGGCATTTTAGAGCATTTGAAGGTGTGAAAGAGAAGTGTCATGTCTTCAGTCCTGTTCCTGTTAATGTTTAACAGAATTTAAGGTCATCCAGTCTTCAATGTGACTGAGACATTTTCACAATAGTTTTAGTGAAGTGTCATTATTTTCTTTCAGGGGCAGGTAGATTTGGGAATCATCAGCATAACAGTGGAAATAGATGCTCAAGTGCAAGTTACCAAGGCAAGAATTGAGAATCCTGTGGTCACCTGTGTCAAACAAAACCAAAAGATGAAAAAAGAAGTAAGTAGCTAAAGCGACTATTAAAAACGAATCTAAGAACAGATTCTGTGCTGTGAAAATCCTTGAAACAAACTTGCATACCTCAATAATCCCACAAATGTCTGGTAAGAACAGGAGCTGACAAAGAACCGCTTTCTTTGAAATAAAAGGGAGATTAAAGATTGGGTGAAAATTTGAATCTACTGAGATGACTCTTTGTATTCAGAGGACCCACCAATGCTTGTTTAAAATAAGAAATTACCAAACCAGAAACTTGATTTCTGTTTATGATTAACTGAAAATAGGTCTGATTGTGTTCCTCCCTCAATAAACCACCAGAACAATATGGGAAGGACAGTTTTCTTAAGGTAGGGGGACACATTCAAATCTGCTAAACACTACAGAGCCGATAACAACAACAGAAGATGTTTGCAATAATCCACACAAAAGTGGAGAAATTTACATCCAAAGGACCAGGACGTCCTCCTGAAATGTTGGGGTTTATAACAAAGGTGACAGCCTCAGGTGGTATAAATGCACTGCAAGAATAGGAAAGACTCCGTTTACTGTCAGCATTATTATTATTAGGGCCTCTATTTATAGTGAAAGCTAAATTAACTATAAACTTTAGAATTCATAAATTGCATTTTGCGGCCTACAGTGGCATACTGGCTAAATGTTTTCTCCCTGTGAATAAACCATGTTTCTTATAGCTGAACAAGTGAACTGCATGTTCACTTGTTCAGCTATAAGGTACCTGTTATTGTACATGGCGTAG